TCTAATTTTAAAAGTAAAAATAAATAAAATACCAAAACTCTAACCTCCTTTCAGTTTCTCTTTCTCTCAACTTTTCCTCTTCTCTACTCTTACTCTCCCTTTCTTCATCTCAAGTTCTTTAATCCATCTCTTTGGTGGTATTACATCAAAAATCAAATTATGTGGCACATAGTGAGTTGCATCAAATGACATTGTCAAATTTTTTTTTTTAAAAAAAAAAGAAAGCAAGAGTGCTTACTAAAAATAAACAACCAGTGATTGAGGAACTCTCATAATCATTAGAAGCACAATGATAAAGACCTCAAAAACATCAAGGTTTGATCTTAGTTGTTAATTTGTTCTTAATTACTAATTTGTTCTTAATTAATAATTTGTTCCTAGTCAATAAAAATCAATCCCGATCCAATTTCTTCTTATATTTGTTTTGACATATTTTAATTTATCTTTTAGACTTTAGGGTGAATCTCATGGGTGGTCACCCAACTTTATTAAAATCAACGTTTTGGTCACTCAACTTCTAACCCTAACAAAATGGTCACCTAACTTAAATTATCCAAGCGTTAGTCACCTACAATTAATATTAATAAAAAAATGTTAAATTGTGGCTAGGTTAAATGCCACTTTGGATTTGATGTGGCATTACCAACATGATGTGGCACTCATTGGCACTAAAAACGTGAAAATTGTAATTTAAATCCCTAAAATTTTGGCTAATTTTTTTTACTCTCAATAACAACCATTTTGAAGCCCTAGAATTTATTCCTTGTTCTCTCTAATTTGCCAACCACATTTTTTTTCCTTAGTCAAACACTAAGATAACCTTCAGTCACCTTAATCATAGTAAATAATTTTGTTATATTGATATTGATTTAAATCAAATTTCTTATGGTACTATAAAATTTTAAGCATTTCACTAATTAAAATGAAATCCCTTTTCATGTGCTAAACTAATTATACAAAGAAAAAATTAATAGCAACCAAAAGCTAAAAAAATTGATAGGATTTGGACATTAACCACCAAAAAAAAAAATGATATTAATTATTATATAATCAATTTAGACAATATCTATATCCATAATTCAAATGTTTTTGAAGTAAACACCAATATTCATAAAAAAATAAAAATAAAATTTCTCATACAAGTACTTCAATTCTAGAGTTTATATTGTGAGCAATCCATCAAAATAAAAAATGAGAAGAAAAAAAACACTTAATGAAAGTCCACTGGTTTGTATTTTCTTTTCTTTGGCTCTACTTGTGATATTATTGACATTGTTTGAGAAATTGATTAAGGTTTAATGACCCATTTAACATTTTCCGTTAATATTAACTGTGAGTGACTATTGCTTGGACAACAAAAGAAGTTAGGTGACCATTTTGTTAGGGTTAGAAGTTGAGTGACTGTCACGCCCCAAAACCCAATTTCGAGACGCGACAGATGCCGTGCACTCGTGAGACGGGTCCCACAAATGCACAAGGCTCGGAACTTATCATATCACACTCTAATACCATCAAAATCTGAAGATCAAATCTTTAAAATTTACTCCGATAACATAAAATCTTCAAATACAAGATCATGATTCATATCTAAAAATCTATATCAATCTCGAAAAGGGCTAGCTTTCTAACTCGTCACTTCCCGTGGTTTCCCCGTCCTCAGTTTCACTTCCTGAAATGGTGGACAAGGAAAACTATGAGATAAACTCAGTAAGTAAATATGGAGTGCCCCTTATCAAACTTAAAGCATACCAACAAGTGCAATCACGCAAAATGGATACAGTACGGGAACGAAATAGACGTCTCCTCTATAGGTCACGGCCAGTGTTATAAACCTCCCACTGACAGGCTACAGAAATTACTAGTGTTTAACCCCCACTAGTAGGGTT